AGGGCATGGGCAGACCTGCCTGTCTGCAGTGGGGTGATTCGGCATCTTCTGGTATGTTTTTAATTCTTCCAGGAAGATATCAAGAAAGAGAATAGCTGGGTCAAATGGAACCCTTATTTTAGTTTTTGAGGAATTTCCACAGCAATTTCCACAGTGGTTGCAGCACTCTACACTCCCACTAATAGTGGAGAAGGGTTCCTTTTCCCCCATCCCAGACAGCATTTGTTATTGGCTGCTATCTTGATAGCAGCCATTCTTTCAATGCTTTGAAGGATTAGCTGAGTTTGCTTGTCTCCTTTTTATCTTTATTTTTTTAACCCTATTCATAAGCACATTCTAAACTGCAAAGCACTAGGTCTTAGTTGATATGGGAGAAATGACCAGCTTTCCACTTGAGAAATGAAATAGAAATGACCTCTGAGGCAAGGTGGGAAGTCACATTTTGAAACTGACACTGGCATCATCATCTACTGAGTCCTGAGAACTAGCAGAAAGCAAGCTGTCCTATCAATAGGTTTACCTCTTCTACTGTTTCCTGAGTATGTCAAAGAAAAATGCACAGTGTTAAACTAGCAAGCAAAATATTATTAAATTAAAATAAGGAAGGAATATTGAGCTTAACTCAAGATGGAAGGTTTTTAAGCACAGGGGTGATGAAGCAAAATCCTGGAAAATGTTGGAGAGCAGGATGTCCAGTGTAATTAAGTCATTCATAGTTGCTCATTGTGATTTATTGAAGTTAGCTTTCTACCCTCCCAGAGAGACTAGAAGACCCTTTGATTACATTTCAAAGAGATTGCTCCTAGGTCATTGAAAAAGACCTTCCTAGGTTGTCAAACAGGGAAATACTTTATTAGTGTTCTAACACAAATGCTCTAAAAAAGGAAGGTGGGAAGGAGGGTGTGTAACATAAGGAAAAAAACCCATCTAAAGTTTAGTAAAGCCAATGGGTGTCTTGGTCAAGTGAGAAGTAGATTATTTTGTTACACCACTAAAATCTAGGAATTTATTTTGGCAGCCACTTTGTTTGCTTGTTTAAGATAGGGTCTCCCTGTGTAGTTCAGGCTGGCCTCAGACTCATGGTGACCCTTCTACTTCTGTCTCTCAAGTCCTGGGATATTAGCCAGGCACCACCATGCCTGGCTTGGCAGCTACTGTAGTATTGTCCTAATTCACATACTTCCTTTGAGGAAGACCCAAATAGATAGACCCTCCCAGCCTTTGCCCAATATAATGACATACTTAACTATGTCCAACTTAACTATACTAAATGAAAACTTTTTTTTCAAAGTTTCAAATTTAACAATCCTTGATCCCCCTCCTAAACATACACCTTTTTCTTCCACCTGTACTGAAATTTCAATATTAACCTATGTTAAAAAAGACTCCTAATGCTGGGGATTTGGTTCAGGGTTATCACTCATGCCTGGGAATTCAACTCCCAGTACAAAACAACAACAACAACAACACCACCACCAACAACAATAAAATAGTGAAAAAGACTCCCACGACAGCCAAGAGGTTCAGATTCTCCTTTCCATTGTTTCTTGTTCTATTTTGAAGACCTCCTCCATTTTTTTTACATCTAACCACTCTAGATTCACTGATCATTTCCTTCCTTATGGTCATCATCTCTTCAGCTACCTGTGTGATTATTTCTGATTTATTTTCATCTAGAAATTTATTCATCTGGTTTGTTACTTCTGCTGCCACCATTTCATAAAATTCAGGTGGGAGGTGTTTGATTTCTTCTACCTCAGTGCCCTCTGGCCTTGCTTTGGGTGAAATGGGTATTTTAGATTGCATCTTACTTACTTCTGCATTTTCTCATTTTCTATTTTTACTTTTGGTTATTGTTTTCCATATTGAGGCTTGTAAGTTGCTTAAGGCAAGTAATCATATCAAGACTTTTTTAGGTAGTGGCTACTTTTCAGAGCTGACTTCTAGGTGTACCTGGCATTTGGCCTCTGACTCTGTCCCAGGATCCTAGCTCTTCTGTTTATGGGGGATAAAAGGTCACAGCCTATTGGCCTAGCACCTATTTCTTTGGTACTGGGCTGTCATCATATTGTTTATTTCCCCCAGACTATCTAGGTATTGATTGACACACAAGGAGGATCAGCCAGTCAAAACAGCTAAGTCACTTGGGCTAATTTAGTATAATCAGTAGTAGCTATTGCATCAAACACAACTAGAAAATGACAAACTTTAATAACTCATATTTGTCACCTTTAACCCTAGGTACAAGATTTATAGTTATATAACAAAGTCTAAGACAAATCAGAAAATTATATACAGTAAATATCTCCTCAATGGATCAACTTACCCCTTTTTACCATAAAGCAGTATTCAGCCATAGTGAGATATACTTAAATAGCTATTGATTCATAAGGGTGAGTGGCATGGGTGTGAAAGTATGAAGAAAAATGAACAAAAGAGACATTATGAATAAACAAGCGGTGGCAGATGTATAAAATGTGATAAGATTGATGTAGGAGGTCTTGTTAGGGGTAAAAGAAGTTAATCTTATTAGATAACAGTAACAGAGCAGACCACATAGTACCAGGTTAAATAATAGGGAATGGAGATGGCACTATAGGAAAAGGAAATAAGAAATAATACTAAGGGAACTGGTTGAAACACAGAAAGTGAGAAAAGAATGGGGAAAGAGTAGAAGGAGGGTCATCCAAACAAATAAAGTACTATTAACATGAGAGACACAAGACAATGAGGGTTTAATCTCCAACCTCTGCCAAAAGAAAAAATAATTGAAAAATGAAAAGCATACCAATAATGGAGAGAAAGGAAAGGAGGGGGAGCGGAAAGAGTTCATATGCATTTCTGAATGAGTGTTTCTGTCCCAGGTCAGTAGTATGTAATCTTACAAGTCACATTCCTCCTTGCCCCTCTTTATAGTCTGTGAGTTTCTATGGAGGTTATTCAATTCAAGGGAGCCTCTCTCTCAGTTTGTGGCAGCTGTTCAAGCTGGGGAACTGGAGAGGTGTGGGGCCTTGTTTCTGAGGCGCCTGTTGTGGATTACTTCTTATTGAGAATCAATCTCAGTTACCCAATAGATTTTCCAGTTTGTGTGGGACAGGCTCCTGATATATGGAGGCTCCTGTGGGGTCTTAGCCCTGACTCTCAGCCCTGTAGTTAATCAGAGGAGAAACTAATCTTCTGAGGGCTAACTTGGGCAGATTCCTAAGGCCTAGCAAGGGCTCAGAGTACTGGGGGTGTCCCCTGTGTACCTGGAGTACCAGCCAGAATAGGCAGCCATTAATGCTCACTGCTTGCCCAGGCAGAGGGCGGGCCTATGGTGTCTGGGCTCTGGCTGAATTCAGGGTGGAGACTATTGTGTCTAGGGTGCTTGGAATACACTGAGTAATCCCCCCATTGCCCAGGGACTGGTGTCAGATCTCAGAAAGAGAGACTGGCAGATCTAGGATTGGAGCCAGACCATGAGAGCTCAGTGTAGGCTCAAGAGAGGCCAGGATGCTGAGTAGAGACTCAAACCAGGCCAGCGTTAGTTCTGTGTATGGAATGAATGTCCCAATTTGCTTGGGATAAACTGCAGGCTCCCAGCGGTGACTCAGGTGTGCTCAGAGTCCAACACTGAAGATGCCTAACACAGGCAGTGGTTGCTTGTTTATCCTCTCAGAGTCTGAGAATGAACATAAACGGAGGGGTCAGGGGAAGGAGCAGCTTCCTGGTCACTTGGCCCTGGTTTGTGCCATCTAGAAATGCTGCCAGGCCTCGATGGCAGTGAGGCGAGGGGCAGTATATACCTCAAGTCTCTCCTGTGTAGCTTGACTCTGCCGCATTACTTAGATTTCGCGAGCTGTGGCAGCTTCCCAAAATGGCTGTTGCTGTGCCGAGCACAGACTGAGCCCCTACTCACACTTGACTACTTCTTTGTCTCTTTCAAACATGTGCCTATGCGTCTCCTTCAAATAGATTTTTTTTTTTTTGTATCAGGGTATATATCCCTTCTCTCTTCCAATTATCTGTGTTTTTAGTTGATCTTCTCTGAGTCTCTCCAATGTGGCTCCTCCTCTATTCAGCCAGGCTGCTGTAACCCTCAAATCTGTTCTAATGTTTTGTGGCTCCTTACTCAGCTGTTAATTTTTGCTATATATATATTTCTGGAGATTGTACTCAGGGCCTTTGCATGCAGCCACATTCCCAGTCCTTTAAAGTGCTGGGATTATGCCTGGTTCCTAATTCATAATTGGCTAATTACTTCATTTAATGATGATTGGACTGAATGTACAAATACTTTCCTAGAACAATATGAGTTGATGACATAATAACAATTTTTCTCAGAAATACTCCATATTTTAGGGCCTTCTCTTACTAAAATATTTATCTCTTTTTTAAAAAATAATTTGTGTAACTATTATGCACATAATTTTATTTTTGAGATACATAATAACCCTGGAAGAAATGTAATTATAAGTTTTCATAAAAAGGAAGAGTAAATAACCCTCATGAAATGTCCTCCTTTGAATACTGTTGGGAAACAAAATTGAATTCTCTTAAGGGAATACCCAGTGAATACCCAGCCAGTTTTTCTTTTATTTAGAGACAGGGCCTGCATAAGGTGGCAAAGCTGGCTTCAACCTTGTAGGCCTCTCATTGCAGCCGCCCAAAAAACTGGGATTGCAGACATGTGCCACCACTCACAAATCATGACTTGTATCTTTTAACAGAGACACAAGAATATATTTAGAAGAACTCATTCAGAGACTTGAGAATGATCAATTTACTACCTGATATGCCAACTGCAGCTGCCATATTTTTAAAGTAAATTACCTTTCTAAAGAACAAAATCATTAATAACAGAAGTAAAGATACACCTTTACTTTCAAAAATAATATTAACTCACATTTCATAAGTATATGCAGAGATTCATTTACAGATTTTAGTTGATATTAGAAATAATTGCTGGAAGTTATTCTAAAAGGTCTATTTTTACTTGCTGTCTTAATTTCATCTTTCAGCTCCCTGTGGTGGCCATTTCTCAGCTCCAAGTGGAGTCATTCTTTCTCCGGGTTGGCCAGGATACTACAAAGACTCTCTGAACTGTGAGTGGGTGATCGAAGCTGAACCTGGACACTCTATCAAAATTACATTTGAAAGGTCTCTGCAAATATTTTTTATGGCTTTTAAAAGAAGGATTATGTAAAAGACCAGTTGACATTCTCTGTTTCCTTTAACAAATCAATGTATAATTTTATTGTAATAGTCAATTGTGCTTTGAAGGCTTCAGACTGTTTGCCCCCTTTTAACCTTTGGCCCTGTTTTCCAGTTAATTTTCTATTTGTCTGATTCTATATTCATACTACTGAAATATGCAAGGCTGACCTTTTTGCTTTATGTATATGCACAGCACTGATATACAAACATGTGACCTTTAACTTAATGAGTTTAGTTGTCCTGTATTTTGAAGGGGCTATGCATTTTGTTCTGCTACATTTCAAGAGGCAAAGGTGCTGTAAAAACATTCAAATTGATATTGTATTGCAGCCCAAAACGCTCATGCACACAATCCATATGACTATACATCCAAGTCCTGAAAATTGTCTAGGTCTTCAGCATGTATTAATATCTAAATAGCTGAAGGTTTTTTCCCTTACAAATATATTGTTAATCAAATAATCTATACCATGAAAGACCATAACATTGAATATTCTAAGAGTTAAAGGTGTGAAGCTTCTGGTTTATTATGGGATCATATTTTTAAAAAATCATTACTTTTGCAGTTCTATTATCGACTTCCATCATATCTTGACCTCTTTCTTAAAAAAGCAAATAAAAAAATCTTTTAAAGTACTGTGTCCTCTTGATATAAACACAGCAGAGTATCTTGATTAGTGTTTAATGATTGAATTTCACCAAACTAACTTGTCGAGTCCATAAATGAAAAGGCCTTCATTGATTTAACTTATCCATGCTAGTGTTAAAATTTACATGAGAAAAAAATGTTTTAGCAGTAATAAAGTATTAAACATTTTTTAAGGGCTCATCTATGTTGCTATGAGCTATACAACCTTCCTCTGACAATATTCGCTTGCTTTGGCTGCTGGAAGAAAATAACATAAACAATGTGGCTTACCCAATGACTAGTTCTCATAGTTCTGAAGTCCAGAAGGCTGAGATCTAAGTGATCTCATCAAAAGATGTGTGTTCTGGCTTGCTAAAAACTATTGTCTCTATCTAACTTCATACGGAATTCTCTCTGTATTTATACCTGAATATCCTCTTCTTAATTATCTTATTTTGTTTGTTTTATGGTACTGGAAATAGAACCTAGGGCTTTCACGCTGAGCTACATGGCCAGCTCTTTTTCACGTTGAGACCCTAAATTGCTTGTGATGGGTTTGAGCTTGCGCGCTTCCTACCTCAGTCTCCCAGTGGGCTGGAATTACAATTGCGCAGCTCCAAACAGGGCTTCTCCTAATGATTGCTTTGAAGGCCCTCTTAACATAGTCAGACTCAGAAGTGCTGGGGATTATGATTTCAACATGTGAATTTTGAGGGATACAATTTAGCCATAACTTTGAGCCATGTATGTTTTATTTAGAATAATTTGGCAGGGTCTGTTTTATGTTAAAACAAAGCCTCTGCTTAGTAGTTGACGTGGTTTACATTTCTGTAGTAATTTCCTCTCTCTCTCTCTGCTTCTCTGCTGCTTTGAGTCAGAGTCTCACTATGTAGTTCAGATTGACCTAGTAGTCTTAGCCAGCCAGGCTAGCTTCAAATTCAACAATCCGCTTGCCTCAGCTTTTTGAGGGGTGGGATTACAAGCATGTGCCACCATGCTCAACTTGAAAAGCATCTTATTTATTGATTATCAAATCTTCATCAGATATTACTACTTCGTGAATGGAGAATCGAAATTAATTAACCTTACTTTATTACAGAAAATCATATTTGGTTTAAAATACAATACATATTTGGTTTATAATACTATAGTATTATATTACTGATTATATTGTTGAGTAACTTTTTAAAATTACATTGATTTGGGCAAAAGGTCAGAGATTTAGTTTATGATTTTCATTTTTTAAACTTTGAACATTGCATTTAAAGGATAACTATATTTGTCATTATCATATTACTCTTTTACATGAACACATATATTTGTGAAATATATAATTTCAGTATTTTGTTATTCTTAGCACTGTTTTGTATCAAAATTTGTAATATTAAGGTAGAAAATTTCATATTTTATTATACTTACATAGTTCATAGCATCTGCCATTGTTACTTCTCTCATTGCTGGAACGAAACGTCTGATCCTACAAATTAAAGAAGGAAAGGTGTATTTTAGCTCACAGTTTATGGAGGTTTCAGTTCACAGTTGGCTGGCTCCAAGGCAGGACAGAGGACAAACAGTCCATGGCAGAGCTGGCAGAGGCAGCAAGCAATGAGCCTTCTGGACTTTGGCCTCACCCAGGCTACAAGCCTTATGGTTGGTGTCACCTACACCAGGGTGGGCCTTCCCATTTTTCCCACCCAGGGGAATAATATTCCTCACCAATCAGTGAGGACTGGTGAATGATAGTTCACCAATCCGGGAGCTAATTTCACATACCTTAGATCCAGCCCCCACCCATCCGCACATGAGACTTTGGGGGACATCTAGGTACAGGCCATCGCAGCACCTGTCACTCTGATCGTTCTCATTAGCCATTATCCTTCGATAGCCAAGTGAAAAGGCCGGGGTCCTACTTCAAATACAGAGAAAAGCCTAGTCCCTCTTTAAATTTTCAGATGATTTCTAAAGATGTGGTTTTATTTTGTGTTTGTTTGTTTGCTTTTGCTTTCCAGGTCTGATTTCTTCTCGGATTATCCCACTCGTGAAAGCCTGAGGCTGCTGCCCTTTCTCAATGTTGCCGTGCTCTAATTTGTAACACTTTCCTTCATTCTCAAAAAACTATGGTACTAGGTGAAGACAAAGAAAGTTACTGCACAATCCAGAGTAATTTACGATTGAGAAAGCCTTCACTCTCCTAAACGGGTTTCACAGTTTCCCATCCCAGGCATCAGTGCCTGTAGCTCTCCAGTCCCCTCTGTTGTGTCAGATCCTTTTCTATCATTAATTGCTCTTTCTTCTGGGATCCTCAACTTTTTTTTCCCTATCCCATAATGCCATACTCCAGAATTTAGCAGAATAAATCTCAGAATACCTGTTACTTTATCATGCACGGCAGTTTAACTCTGTTTCTCCAATTCCCCAGTGAGGTGATACTGTGAAGTAGAAGTGTATCTTGCCTTTCTTTCCAAACATGACAATGAAGAGGGTTTTTTTCCCCCCTAAATCAAACAACAGTGTTCTCCTTTGAAGAATTCACCCTTTTTCACTCTCCTGCTGATTGAAACTATAACTAAATTAAAATAACATTTACTTCATTCCCTTATATTCAATTTAAAGATAAACCTAAAATTTATTGCTAGGAAATGAGGTTAAGTGACAGAAACACAAAATGCATTATTATGTTCAAAATCATCCTGTGGCTTGCTAATGGAAATAATCATCAATAAATAAACACCTGATATCTTTCAACCCAAAGTAGACTATTTGGAGTTGCCCACTTGAGAAGCATTTTGATTGCAAAGCAAAACCTACAATTCAGAGTGTACACATTATAACTTTTCATTTTGAACTTATGTTTGAAAGCACTATTTTCTTTTCCCAAAATTCTTAACATATATTCTCTGTCCTTCCCAACAGGCCAATCAGCATGTGTCTCTTTGTTATTTACCTCTCTTAAATAAATACCTTTAGAATTGTCCAAACCGAATCACATACATAGTAGTATATATATTACAGTGATTTAGATCATTCCCAAGTTGCCTTCCTAGTGAAATCCCTCCAGCCATTTTATAAGATCTAATACTAGTTAGACAAGAAAAACCCCTAATTTATTTTCTCTAAATATAGTTACTTAGCACATTTTATCCTACCAATCTTATTCCCTTAACTGTTTACTAAGGCACAAATCTTTTAAATTACGCTACAGGCAAGAAATTGAAAAGTAATTTTCAGTACTAGAGTTTGTACGTGGTAACAATTATCAGTCCTGCAGTTGAACCAGAGAATGCCTGGGGTGAAGAATGATTCCCAGGGTCCAAAGATTTTGGTTCTCCCCTTGAACATTACCAATCAGGGACTTGCCAACTGTGTCTCATGTCTTAATCTCTAAATTACACATTCAAGTCAATCTCATAGGTCCTTCACCTCCTGGATAGCAATCATTTAAAAAAAAAACTGCTCCTTGTTAATTAGCCTGAAAACTAGAAGAACCAGGAGTTAGAATGGCTTAAAACTCTATCAATGGTATTTTCAACATTTAAGAGTATACAAAGAATAGCTGTATCAATTTTTTCCTTTGAATCATACTTTATAAATATAAAATAAAATTTCAATTTTAAATATCCTAAGCTGAAATGTTCCTTTTGGGGCATTCTCCAATTTGATCTTTCCTCATAGACACACAAATGCCTATAAAAGGCTTGATTTGGAGATATTTGAAGAAAAAAATATGTATTTCGATGTCTTCACCTGTTTCTTCTTTTCTTAAAATTCTTTAGGAATGTGAGACTTTGCTTGATTGAATGCTGCTAATATTCCACGTGCTTTGCCAGAAAATCCATTCTAACCCATCATATACTTGGGAGTAATTCATTAGCAAAGGGAAGAGGAACATATTCCATCAAATTATAAAACATATGTATTTATCCATTAGATATCCAAAATACATCCAAAATATATGCATTTATCCATTAGATTTGTGGTATGAGAAGCCACACTCACATCTGACATCTCTGTTACCATTTCTTTTTTCATTGATCTTATAATGGCTTGATGCTTTATTTTTCGCCAAAGATTATCTTAAGAAAACAGGATAATATTTATAACTACCTAATACATACTAGTTTTTTTGAAAAAAAAAACTAATTTCTTTCCAATTTTCAGACAGGCTCTTCAAAGGATACCAGTTCAATGGTTTCTAATAATTTCTTTCACTCTAATATTTTTGTGGAAGTTGGCTTTAAGCAATAAAGTTGTATTTATGGTAGACATATATTTTTAATTCTATTACTCATGAATAACAAATTAACTTGGTTTTTAAAAATCAAATTTAAATAATATTTAAAAGTCAAATAATATAATTAGGATTATATCACAGCAATTTAAAAATTTTCATCTTTGGTTCCAATTCTACCAATTGATTAGTTTATTGAAAAAGTTAAAAATATTTATAGTTATTTAATATTTATTTATTTATTTATTTATTTATTTATTTAACATTTAGTGGTCTCCTTGAGATTATCTCAAGCAGAGTAAATCAATGAACTCTTCCAACAAATGTATGTGATTTAAATTGTTTACCTGTTCTTTGTATACCCAAATAGTTAACCAGTCTTAGTGTCAGATCTGCAGGGGAGTTTTATTTTTGCTTCTTCATGTAGTTTCCAAATTTTCTGGTGATCTGGCAGCCCCTAACTCTAAATAAATGGTGCTCATGTTACTATCATTATCTGAAGCGCATCTTTCTATTCCTTTTTCCATCCTTACCTCTCTGATCAAAATCTTTTGGTTAAGTCTTCAAAGAATTTTTTTAATGTTTTAAGTTATTAGGTCCAATTTCATTTTTCAAATTATATACTGATTCTGTTGTTTGTTTATTCTGAAAAATATGCATTTAGTGCTGTAAATGAATAGTACTTTGAGGTAATTTATGAGAAATTTATACAAACTATCTTAATACACAAAATCAAAGATACACAATTTATTGTGTAACCTTATCTCATTTAGCGTGTTATTATAATACATTTTGTAGCTCCCCAGAGAAAAATCTGTGATGATTTTCTTTTTAAAGATTCACTGCAAATGAACAATGTTCTCTATGTCACCAATTAATGTTGATATTCTATTAAGAATTAAATCTTCTCACTTTTCAGTTCAAAGTAACCCCTCACTCTTCTGCTGTCAGATGACTGGCTATCAAAGTGAAATTCTAATTTCAGCATTCACACTAAATTCACTACAGAGCAACCAAATAGTACATTCATGATGCAGTTGCCTGATCATCATTTAAAGAACTTAGCGTGTGCTTAGCTTTCCTTCTGTATAGTATTATAGATATTTTGAGAGAAATACAATATATTCCAAGTTGTAAAATTAGAAAATAAATGCATAAAATTCTTACATTTTATTAAGTAAATTGCTTAACAGAAAGTAGCAGTGACAGAGTTGAAACATATTTCAATTTTTCTTTCATGCTCTTGTGGGTTGAACTCAGGGCCTCATATGTGCTAGCCAAGCACTCTACCATGGAGCCACAACCTCGGTTTTACTTTATGTTTTATTTGGAGATAATATCTCAGTAGGGTGCCCAGTCTGGGTTTGAAATTGTCATCCTCCTGCTTCACCGTTCTGAGTAGCTGGGGTCTTAGGACTGTACTGCCACACCTGGTCAGCTGTTGCTTTTAAAACTATATTAAACTATATACTTAAGTTTGACTGTTCATATGCCATGTTCATAATCATGTCAGAGATTAATATAATAAGAGTTTCTAAATTTTGTAACCAGTCAGCTTTTTGTGGGCATTTGTTTTGACCCAGTTTGGGTTTTTAATGCTTTGTTTTGAGGAATAATGGGCTTAATTTTTAAAAAATATTTTAACTCGATCCAAATAACTACCCTGATTTGATCATAGGACTCTGTAGACATGTGTTGAATTATGACACCTCATCTTCATACTTTTATACATTTTTCTGTGGTGGTGGATACTGAACCCACGACTTCACCTATGCTAGGCGAGTACAGTACTTATGTCACTGAGTTTTATCCCCAGGCCTGTGGTTTAACTTTGTATCATACCTGGGATAGACTGATGGTCATGAAAATAAAAAAGATTCTCTAGAAAGTAGTACATATTTCAAACTATAAATTATTTTTTCAAAGTGTCCTGGAGATAAATGGAGAAATAACATACTGAAAATGTATTGGAAGATGCATTTTTTAATTGTTTATTGGTACATTTAAGGTATACAATATGATAACATTCATCATTGGGAATTTATACCTTTACATTATATATCTTGGTTCTTACTTTTTCTATGTGTGAAAATACACGGTTAATTATGGAAATATCCAATTATGCTGAAATATTGTTTTCTTATAATTTGGTAACTAAACTATGGAAAAAACCACATTATTGTTTTTAACATATTTCATTTCTTGAATTTATCCAATAAATATTTTTTGAATTTTCATGTAAAGGACTGACATAAATAGATACTACCTGACCTCAAGGTGCTTACAAAAACTCTGAAGAGAATAAGTGGTCACAAAAGCAAACACAACTATGATTAATGTAACAAAAGGCACAGTAGATTGTGGCCATGCAATGAAGGAGCTCAGCTACCCTATGGGGTCAGAGCAGGTATTCCTGTCACACATTTAAGGTGGAACAGAAAGATGGGTAGTAAAACAAACCTTGGCTAAAGTAGGAAAACACTTTCCTGGGCTGCAAGACATTTATGGGCAGAACAGTGAGATACCTTTCCATGAGTAGAACTGCTCTTTGTTGTTATACTTATAATTAAAAGTTATTTTCAAATGTAAATTCTATAAAAATTTAATATCCAAAATCTGTACAAAAATATGTAAAACAAATGCCAGATTTTAAATGTATATACTATTAAAATGAGAATCTGATTAAAAATGAATATAAATCACATATTTTTCATAGAAATAAAGATAGCAACTAAAGATGGCTCCACAGATATGCTTAGTTAATGAATAGGCCATTTATTTTCAGATAATAATCCATAATATTTCAATGATATTTTACTTATGACCAAGTACATACACTTCACTTTTTAGTGGTAAGTTTCCATAGGAATAAAGATCTGTATCTTTAGCATTTACAGAAGAATAGATCATAAGTGATGTCTTACGACAAGCCAACGAGAATTATAAAAGTAATAAAAATTAATATTAATTAAAATAGCAATTTAAAATATAATTTTCCTATATGTGTATTATTGTAATAAATGCATCTTTACATGTGTCTCTTCATCACAGGTTTCAGACTGAACTAAATTATGATGTTCTGGAAGTTCATGACGGGTCAAATCTTCTGTCACCCTTGCTTGGATCTTACAATGGCACGCAAGTGCCCCAGTTTCTCTTCAGTAGCAGTAATTTTATATACCTTCTATTTACAACAGACAACAGCCGTTCTAATAATGGCTTCAAGATTCATTATGAAAGTAAGTGATTGCAAAATATTTTCTGACTTATCCATTTCGTTTGTCCTACCTTTTGTGTTATCATTGTGTAACTAAGAGAACTAGTAGCTTATTTATTTTTTTAAATCAATGTTTTCCTTGTTCTTCAAGCATGCTAATACTTTGAAAATGTGTACTTTAGAAAAGTCTGCCATTTTCAAACAATATCAATCTAATATCATTATAAAAGCAAGCATTAAGAACATTTTAGAACTATCAAATAGTTCTTTAAAAAATGAGTACATGTGCTAATAATTTACGTACAGTTTTAAAAAGCAGATGCTAGGAATATAAACACTCATATCCTTTTTGAATCACTTTATATATCAACTATTGCTTCATATTTTGCATGATTTGCAAATTCCACCTAAAAGCTCAGAATTTTGTTTAAAATGTCTAAAACATTTTGAATATTAAAACTTATAGTGGTAATTTATATAAGAATATGTCTTTTAATTTATAAACTTCAGTATTTATATATTTATGACTGTATTGCATATGATGTATTTTATATATATACAATGTATACATGTTATATATATATACAAAGTCACATATATGCACACATTTTTATTGAAAAATGCATTGTCACATATGTGCATGAAATAGTTTGAGTAAATAGATCTATCACCACACTTAAGAGGGTGCTAGAAAATATCTTTATTTCAAGTGCAAATATTATTTTCTTAATTTTTCTATTCAAGTCCATGGTGATCCTTTTTCCCTCAAGAAAAGAATTGTGAATTTGAAATTTAATAGCTTTCCATGTACTATTGGGCATCTTGCCTTAGTAAATGTGGTCAATGAATTCACAGGTTCTTAAAAGAATAATCAATATATTTTGGTGCTTATTCCTTTTTAATTTTATTATCCACAATACTATGTAATTCTACTTATTTTCTTTTCATTCAAACTTTAAGACATGGAAGTGTGTTCTCAACATTATTATAAAATACAACAAGAGGATTCTCACAGACTTGAAAATTAAAATGAATTAAAGGGCCTTAATGAGTTCTGTACTTTAACTTGTACTTGTTAAGACAGAGTAATTGTTTTTAAAAAATCTTTCAATACTAATTATTACTCGCAATTAAAAACTAACATTTCCTATGCACCCTAAAGCACATTCAATCTCCCTTGATCCAAGATATGTGTTCTTTATCATGGGCCAGACCCAGGCCTATTTTAAGGACTAAATGAAGTAGGATATTTAATATGCAGTAAGTTCTCAATAAATGATCCTCTTTTATTATTTATGTAAAAACTAAACAAATTAGTATAAAAAGGGGGAAATCCACATCAAGCACACTCCTCTGTCATCAAGATTGTCACTTCTGTGTCATTAGTAAATGACATAGGCTATCTTAGTAGCAAGGGCTAGGGCCATGTAAGGCAAAGGGGCAGCTGAGAATTGAGGAGAGTTAAGGCGACAGTGAGACACACTGGATATCAATCGGTTCAATCTGGCCAAAGGCAGGGACTTTCTATTTTAATCCATTTACAAGAAATTACTTCTCTCATTTTTATTGTTAGTCTTGTAGTTTATTGTCATTAGGAGATATTCTGCAACATTATAAATCCTTTGTTGTCAAGAAATAAGCAGGACCCACTGTATCAATAAATTTCCCTAGCTGATGTTACTAATTTGTCCTTTTTTAAATGAACCATTCACAAAGCTCAAAAGTAGCTGGTTATGGAAACTTTAAAAATACATTTGGCACTTAGTAAATTTGTGATTTTAAACTCAAACTTTGTTTAAAATACTTGGTTTCCTCAGTGAGTCAAAATCGCATGGAAAGGATTCCTTTCAAAGCCATCCAGATTAGAATCCACATCTTTTTTTTTTTTAACTGCACTTTATCTTCCTGTCAAAACAAGAAAATTGAAAAAGTATACCAATTCCATAAGATTATTATTTTTAAACATATTATAATAAGGATAACAAAGAATACTTTAGGAGCATAATCCACATTTTGTTTCAGTGTAGTTGTTTTGCCCAAGAAAATTCACTTCTGTTTGTTGTACTGTATCAATTGAAATACACATATAAATCCATAAGAGTCCTGAAACTAATCTTTCATGAATACCAAGGAAAGCTGTAAAAAGTCTTCTTGGATATTTAAGTTTTCAGAAGTACTTTAAAATTAAAAATGGAAACAAAACAAAAGCATAGACCCAGATATCATCTCCCAAAGCATATTTTATGTGCATTTATTGATATGATTTTTTTTATTTATGAAGATACAATACATTTAAAAGAATGTACAACTTAAAGAACACTTGTTATATTTATTATCAATAGATGTGGAGTGAGGACGAAATAAATTATAACTTAAAATATTCAAATATTTGTATTATTTAGAATAAATAATTTTAAAGTCTTTTTTGAGATTCTACTTTTTTGAAAAGTCAAGTAATTTAAAACAATAAGAAAAATGAGAAAATGTTAATATCATTCGTTTAATGCAGACACAGGCTTCTGAAAATTATGGATACAGTCAAAATGTGAGAATCTTAAAACTGTTTTATCAGTTACATTGTATTTTTTTGACTATTTGCTAATAAGTCATACTGATATCTATTCACCTTGATCTTTTATATTTTCTCAATTTTGCAACATTTCCATTGCTGTAAATTTACCTTGGATTATTTGTGTGTTAATCAGTTAGGCAATATTTCTTTAAACTTATTCCTTGACTTCTAGATTTACATAACATAGTGAGGGGCATAAAAAGAAATACATCACTTCACTCATTAAGTGAAGAAATAGAGAGGACAAATGAAATTATTAACCATGTACTGTTCATTGACCTCTAATCAGTATAATCTGAAACCATTAAAATAACTTTTAGGTAAATTTAGCAATAATTTACACTGTGCGGAATTTTTATGGCCCCCATTTCTATGATTTCATATGATTTTTATAGTGTTAAAATTTGAGAGATAAGAAGGTAACATTGGCTCAGTACAGGAAGAGCTAGACTGCAAGGAAAGGAATTAAGGTGTTCTACTGAAGACAGAAGATTGTGACCATTAAGCAGGCAAGTGAAGGCATCTCTGGAAGAGACAGAAAGCATAAAATTGGTGAGGAGTCTTAACCTGCTTGGTGTGAAGTATAACCTTTGGAAGAGAAGGGTAATTACAAAAATGGGATTCAGTTTGAAAATCTTTAATGGCAGGATGATAATTTTGAATCTGATTCCATTAGCAAAAGGTATAAAAGAAATGAAATATTTTTATACTATGTCTGTGTAAAATTGTACTTAAAATAGATTGCAGATGAAACATCTCTCCGTGAAAGAGAGACTGGACATTACTGTTTCATAGACTTGAATGATGAAGCCTAAAATAGGCTAAGAGAGCTAAAAACAATGAGATTGTGAATTTAAGTGAGGGAGATTTCAGACATATTTGTGGAGGGCAGAGAGTGAGAAGAAGTCAAAGATGAATGAGGGTTTCTAAGATATGGATATCTAGCAGAATAATGATCACATTGAAAAGAGAAATCTATCAGATGAAAATAGTTGCATTATAGATAAAGATCTGTTATAGTTTAGTTTCTCATTAAAAGTGACTGCATTTAAATAAAATTAATATGTTTATAAATACAAGCTTTCACAACTTCAAAATTAAAGTTCTATTTTATAGTAGATTTTTTAGCTCCATTTTAAACTGAGTATGTGCATGTTTTTAAATATAATAATTTTCACCAAATCTGAATCCCATGAGACTTCCTCTTTGTTTTTACCCCGCTGCTCTGCAGGTGTTACTGTGAATACATATTCTTGCTTGGACCCCGGCATACCTGTCCATGGCCTTCGCTATGGTCATGATTTCTCTATTGGATCTACTGTTTCTTTCAGTTGTGATCCAGGATACAGGTTGAGCCATGAAGAGCCTCTTCTATGTGAAAAAAACCACTGGTGGAGCCATCCACTGCCAACCTGTGATGGTAAGGGCTCACATAATATGGAAGATATCAATATTTTTCACATTTGTAAGCAACAGCAATTTATAAAATATGAATACTTATAACCTCAAAGACTCAAGATGAGGTCCTGCACAGTCATATGTTTTCAAAAGCTTAGCTTGAAGTTTTCAAAGAGGACCTTGAATTTTGGCAATGTTTGCTCTCAAATTTATTAATAAAATAAGTAAGAACATACGTAATCAACCATACGTTCCCATAAGTACAGAATGGAGATTCTTGGATGAAATACTGTTGAAAGTGCTAAATTTGGGAAAACTGAATGCAGAGAAAGAATATTGCATTTGCTTCCTTCCCTGGAGGGTAATCTTTCCAAACAGAAGATCCATCTACCACACACACACACACACACACACACACACACACACCTCTCTAAGCAGCTACAAAGTACAGTGACCACTTACACAGACTGCCCTGTGGGTGGAAAGTTTGTGGTTAGGGTTAGGGTGAAGAGAATATAACAGTATCCTTATTTCTGAGTCTTTTCTAACACATGAAAGTACAGTAACAAAAACTCTTTCTCCCAAAATTGAGAAGTTCTTTTATTGTAGATAGGTAAATTAATTAGATTATCTAATAGGCAGTTAGACAGGACCACCTTCAAGGTGCCAGCCCTCAAGGAGCCAACACAGCCAGGAGCCAACATGGAGAACAATTAAGGCACATTCACTGGTTAGCATTATAAAAAAGAAAAGAAGTACTACTTCCCCTAGAGAGAGATAGCAGTGATTGATATTCTTAATGGGAAATTCCTTGCATGTGACTTGTTTTCCCATTTGATCCCCATTTAATCAATATTACCTGGGTGACCATACTTGTAATCTTATTGGTTGATCATGGTTTTGGGTGACCTCACGCCCACCTTGCAATTTCCATTGGGTCTATAGTTTTGTCCCACCTTTAACCCAGCTCACTTTGTGGCTTTGCTCCATAAAACCCCCTGGCAACCCCAGGCAACACTTTCCTGTCCCCCTTCTGTCTCTCTTAGACAGAAACTTTCTTTCAATAAAATTTTCCTACCCTTAACCTCTGTTCTTCCTAGAATTCATTCTTCGAGAACACAAACTCATGTTTCAGATAGCTGGCAGATTTGGGAGGTGCATCTCTTCCCCTGTATCATTTTGGAAGATTTCCCCTACATCGCCTTCATGCTTGCTTTGTCAAAAAGCACAGTGTAAATCTGCACATCCTTTAGTTCAGGGCTTTAATCTCTATTTACAGCATGATTTTCAATTTCTACAATTATTCTTTTTCAGGTTGGAAGAGCACATTTGTCATTTCATGATGAAATATTTAAGTATTTTCTACACCTTCATTTTTAAAAAACAGCCATATGCCAATTTGTTTTTATAAGATGGTTTAAAACAGTCATCAGCCTATCTCCTCTGTACTTGGTACAATACCATTTGTATTAGTCATTGTTCTTATGATTGTATGTGACAGAAATCCACCTCTAATTACTTTAAAAAATAAAAGCACAAATTGTTGTTCAACTCTTCAAATCATAGGAAAGTTAAGGTATTATACTTCTCATAGCTTTTTATAAACATGAATTCAAACATTTTTATGAGTCAATCTTTCATCTAGACTTTTCCCTGTTTAGTCACATAACTCCCTAAAATTGTAGGATTTTTCCACCTGAGAAATTGGCAGTAGAGAATATAATCTTAGGAAAATGGAAGTTTATAGGTATATCTTCAGAATCTGAAGTTAAGTCCTCATCTCTGTTTCCAGGTAGAAAAGAAAGAAAAACATGAAAGTTATCTGTCTTAGTTACTCAGTTACTTACTCTCATTGCTGAGATACAACACCGGACACCCAAAGTTAAAGGAGGGAAGGTGTATTTGGTTCTCAGTCTACAGAGGTTTCAGTTTATAGTCAGTAGCTCCAAGGTAGGGTGGCATGGCAGACGAGCATCACAGAGGAGCAATAGTTCATGGCAGAAAAAAGGCAGCAAGAGACAAGGGACAAGCAACAGATTCTCTCTGTACCTTTATATCAAAAGGCTACCTGTCTTTAGGGAGGGTAGCACTTAAACCCAGGGTGGAGTGCCTTTAATCCTATCCAAAGCTAGGCCAAAACAATCAGTTTACTAATTTGGTAATCATACCCCCTTAATCCCCGTCACATATTCTAGATCCTGCCATGTTTGAAAAGCCCCACCTATGATGGCATGAGGCTTTGGGGGACATTTGGACACAAATGGTAACAGTATCCGATTGGTCTTTACCAGAACAAGGCACTATAGTAAAGGAGATCTTATGAGGATTGGATTTGTCTTGGTCACATGGTCGTCTGTTCCTATGGAGTGAGATAAATGATAGTGGTGTAAAGGTCCTATGCTTGCCAGGCCCTGATAAAGCTCCATGGTTGACATGAGAAAGGAATGTTCACCAAGAAAGAAAGCAATGGAGGCAGCTGTATCAGAAGACACCGGTACTTCAAAATCCATTTTGACTATAGCAGCAACTTACATTTTGTTTACAATAAAACAAGTTATATCCAGTTTTCCTAGGCACAGCACAGGCCCATCTTTTGCCAGTGTGAATTTCTGACTTTTACATTTCATCTTCTACATTTGCCACTAAGATTATTTTATGTTATGCTCCATGTCAAAAGTAGTTAAAGGCTTTAAACTGCCTGGAGATGAAAATCCAGATTACTAGTCATGGAATTTATAATACTGAACCATGAGAACTCTGGAATTTCCAATGGTGTCTCCATCCTGTATTCCTACAGTGCATTTTCCCCAAAGATTATGTCATGTCATTTTGAATTTCTATCTGGATCTGTCCTCTTTTGTTCATTTGTTTGTTTGTTTGCTAACTTGTTTATGACAGGGTCTGACTATATTGATTACTAGTTGGAACTCAAGCCTCATGCTCCTCCATCCTCAGCTTCCCACGCAGCTGGGATGGCAAGCACTCATCTGGGTATCCTCCTCTTTTGCATTCCAGTTTCATCTTGAGCATGAATGAGCAAAGATTAATTCTATTCACCTTTTAAACATTTCAACTTTTTAAAAATGCAGGTGATTAATGATTTCCCATGGACTTGAAATCAGCTGCTTTCAGTACATTATGCACGTGAAGTAGTCATGTATGCTAGGGATAAAATTGAAATTAGATGCTTGGTATCTAACTGTCTTCATAAATTCTCTATACCACTGTCTTTTTTAATAATATGTTTGAGTTCCATTGTCTACTTGAAAATATATTAGGTCTCTAGAATGCTTGAGCCTGATAAGTTATTATCCATTTTTATCATCTTAACAAGGTGGTAGTTTTTAGAGAAGCAAAGATTATCAGTGTGAAAGAATATTTAGTTATGATTTAACCACTCTTAAAATTAACCCAACTCCAATAAGCTTTCTATTTTGAATTAGTGTTTGTCACAGTGCATTTTGCCAATGCACGTATTTGTTAATCTCTCATAATTGTTCAAAATTATTATTATAAAGTAAATACAATTCAAAACATTTGAAATGTAAAATAATCTCATTTTCAAAGATGAAGGACTTCATTAGGATGATGAAAATGATGAGGTTGCTGCTGCTGATGATGGAAAACTTTCAGTTACACACAAGACAATTGCCAAAAAAGAATTTGGAAGTGAGATCAGTTAAAGAGCATATATGAGGATATTGACTGAAATATAAATCCACATTATGCCACAACTCAGTGACTTCTAATTTTTAATATTGATAAACTGACACACAATAAGCATTGATGACCATTGAATGTGATAGAAAACATTTATAAACTGTGATTTATTAAATAAAATGATATTGATCAAATGTTTATTTCTTTAATCTCAGTTCATAGGCATGTATTTATTTTTATTTTCTTGAGATATTTACTTATAAAGATGTGCCTCTTCAAATATTTCTTCTTGTTCATGGTATTTCTCAGACAAATATAGAAGTAAAGAAGCAACTTTCAAAACAATCATAACTTCACAATTTCAGAAAGGATCCAATGAAGAATGATACATATCCTTTTAGGAACCTATAAGAAACTCTTTTACATAGATAACAGTTCCTTTTCTTAGTATTTACTAAGAGGAGCTGCTTAACAATTAATTGTATGCATTTAATTTACCACTTATTTTTACAAGTGCTGCTTATCATTTAAAAAGTATGTTTGTACTTCATATTCAAAAGTGAGAAGTTGAGCTACGTTTTCTTATGGCCAGTGCTACTTCTCAGAGAAGATTAAATACATTATTCTTCTCTAGTGCTGCAATGGATGACATGATTTCCCAGTATTGGAAGAGGACTTTACACCCCTGCTATTACCAGGAAGTAGCTTAGGCAAAGATAGTGGGACTTGCCCTGTTCCAAGGAGGAGGTAACAGATTTGTTCTGCCTGTGCTTCTCTGTGACTGATTGAAATGTATTTTTTTTTCCAGCACTTTGTGGAGGAGACGTCAGAGGGCCAAGTGGAACAATCTTATCACCTGGTTACCCTGAATTTTATCCAAATTCTTTGAATTGTACATGGACTGTTGATGTAACCCATGGAAAAGGTAATTTGTCTCATGCAGAAATAATTGGGTTATCTTCTGAGTTTTTACTGAGTCTGTTTTTATTTCATTGTCCTTACAAAGTCACTTTGGATGGCCAAATTGCAGATTAGTACTAAAATATGCTAAAATAAAATTCAATTTAAGGACCAGCTTAGCCAGGCAGGTGGAGAGAGAGGTCCCTGGTGGCCTGGAGCTCCGGTCCATCCAACCCACACCATGCCCACAGTGACCAGCTTAGCCAGGTGGGTGCCTGCAGCTCCCCCACCCCGGCCTCCTGGCTGTGCTGCTACCTGGTTCCACACTACAAAAAGGCACAGGGGCACAGGGGGTCACAAAGGCCATTGTCCTGAGCTCCAGAAGATAGAGCAGAAGGGAACAACAGAAAGAGGGCCTCTCTCAGGCTCCTTGATGAAAACTGAAGCCCACTGGAAAAATGAAGAGAATTTCTGCAATAAAGGCACAACAGACCACCATACTTGGTAAGTTGGAGGGATCATCACCTCTTATCAGAACCTGGACTATCTTCAGGGGAAAGGCAGCTGGAACCTTCAGTAGAACTTTGCAGAGTTCAACCCTACAGAAGACAGGGAGCTCAACTTGGGACTTGCAGCCAGACATCTGCCTGAAACTCATGGGACTGTAACTGGCTTGCTGAGACTCATTGATTTATATCTGCACACTGCTGCCCACGTTGTCTATTGTGACAGCAGAGTCATACCCTGAAGGAGGCCATTCATTTTTATTTGTCATTTTCAAAATTATTATTATTATTTTTGCTCTTATTTTTAATTTTTATGTTTTACTTCTAGTCTTTTCAAATTTTCATTTTTCCATTCTTTTCTTTCTTTTCTCTTTTCTTTCTCTCTCTGTCACACTCGCTTTCTTGCTGTCCCACATTGTTCTTCATCTCATTTGTATTCCGGTTCTCACCGTAATTCAGATTTCTTTTATATTTTTCTTTTTCTTTTCTACTTTTTCCCTCTCTCTCCTGTGTCCTCTGGCCTCACTGCTAACCTTCTTCTAGCCTTCTACCTATCTAACCCTCCTTCCCCAACTCCTTCCAACTTCCCATCCTGAAGGGTAAAGTTGCTACATTGAAGAGTTTATTCACTATAAACATATGCTCAATTTTGATTTAATTCACATAGTTAAAGGTGATAGTTAATAACTACCACAAATTGTGATTTTCTAAGATGTACTTGATGCTGTGGTGTTGCTGATTGTATCACTTGGCTAAGGTGTTGTGATTTATGTAATCAGTTGTCCTTCCTGGTATAATGAAAATGAGACAGCTTCAGAGTCATTAGAGACTCAAAAATTAAAGACCAGCTATATCTGGAAGACACCTCTGAGAAGCAATCATTCCATAAGGGTTCTAAATACAAGCAACAAGCATACTTACAATAAACAATTTTGAAGCACCAACCCAGGAATTAAACCAAGGACAGTACCAAAAACAAAAAAGAAAAGACATTTAAGCAAGGCACAAAGTAAGATTTCCACCCCAGCAAAGGCAAATTTGGGGGGAAATGAGGTGGAAAAGTCTGATAATCAACCACCTGGACACCCTGAACTGATAGGACAGGAAGTAACAAAACAGATGAATGAGGCCCTAGAAAAATTCAAAACAGAAAGAATTTCCCAGATAACTACAGAGATAGTGAGCAGAGTGAAAGACATAATTAGAGGCTGTAGAACAGAAACAGATTAAAAAAATAGATGAGCTTAGAAACCTGCTGGAAGCCATGAATGCCCAGGATAAGAAAGAAATGGAAACCATGATCACCCAACATAAGAAAGAAATGGAATCCATGAAACAGATTCAAACAGATATTCGGGAGATTAAAATCTCCACTGAAAGTACACAGCAGATTAAGGGAATCTGAAGATAGAATAGCAGGTATAGAAGACGGGATTGTGGTGAAGGACCATGACAACAGAGATTTCTTAAAAATAGGAAGGTACCATGAGAAATCAATCCAGGAGCTGCTAGATGATGCAAAGAATAATAACATAAGATGGATAGGAGTCCACGAAAAAACAGGAGAAAATACAATTGACATAAAAAACCTGTTCAGAGTAATAATAGTGGAAAACTTCCCAGACAGATGTAGAAAATTTGACATGTAGATAAGTGAGGCATATAGAACTTCAACTAGCCATGATCAAAAAAAATTCTACATCTAGATATATAATAGTCAAGATCCCAGAAATCCAACAGAAGAACAAAATCCTACAGGCAGTTAGAGAAAAGAAACAAATCACCTACAAAGGAAAGTCCTTCAGAATCACAACGGTCTTCTCAACACAAACCCTCAAGTCAAGAAGAGCCTAGAGTAAAGTATTTCAAGCCCTAAAAGAAAATGACTTCCAACCTAGACTGTTGTATCCTGCAAAATTATCTTTCAAAATTGATGGGGAAATTAGATAGTTCTATGACAAAGAACACCTGAGAAATTTCATGAACACCAAACCAGCACTCCAAACAATTTTAAACAATATCCTAGGAAAAGACAATGAAGGTCAAAAATCCATGAGGCCCAACAGAGGGAAGCCACCAGGAAAGGTAAGAAACTAAAGGGAAAGGGGGAAAAAAAGAAATAAAAGAGCCAACAAAAGTAAAACATCATGACAAGGATGAGTTAATATCTATCATAACCATCAATGTTAATGGTCTCACTTCAGCAATCAAAAGAAATATACTGGCAGAATAGATTAAGAAGCAAAATCCAGCAATATGCTGTATAAAACAAACACACCTAAC